AACCTTTATAAAAGTCAGGGTGTATCACGTTATTTCTCTTGATTTCTCGAAATAGGAGGAGTCACAAAAGCCAAAATGCATTTATCCAGGTAGAATAGTACAATTACTGTCTACCCATTCCAATTTTAGTGAAGAGGGTGCAAGGGCGCTCTGAGGTGGTGCTGTGAAACCTTATAAGTGTTGGTATAATAAGCCTAAAGTAAAGACGTAGAGTGGGATCACCTAGTCTAGAGCCAAGTGCATAAAATTTATCATGAAAGTAAAAATATCGATTTAATTTTAAACTTAAATCGTTTCTGAATTAAGCGATTTTCTGTTATATCGCCAACATTTTAAATAAAAACCAACCTTTTTAATCAACGGAAACTCTAAATTAAGAAATCAACAAATATATTTCCGATTTTCTTGTCTATACATTTCATTTTATACTTTCACTACATGGACTAACAATAATATTAACTTATACCGTTATTGCTAAGCAGCATGACATAAAATTTTACTTCATAATAGTGACTCTGATTCGTCATGGTTTGCATAAAGTATTTATTCCCTGTTTAATCTGTATTTAGTAGAAATATGTTGTTGTTTTTTCTAGTTATATGTTTAATAGATTCCCTAAACCTGCGAGATATTGAGGAAAAACGATCGTCTTAGCAAGTGATGTAAACAGTTTGTTATAACAAGCGAGTCACTGCGCAATATTTATGGAGTGTTTATGGATAAATATAGTGAAAACTAACACTCGTTTTTTGGACCTTAACAGGTTAGGTTTATTGTCCATTCGTGAAAATTACAATCTGAATTATCGATAAACTGATCTTATATGACATTACCTGTACACATTATGAGGAGTAGTGACAATGAAAATATGAACCATTAAACACTATTACCTGTACACATGATGAGAAGTAGTGACAATGAAAATATGAACCATTAAACTCTATTACCTGTACACATGATGAGGAGAAGTGACAATGAAAATATGAACCATTAAACATCTTACCTGTACACATGATGAGGAGTAGTGACAATGAAAATATGAACCATTAAACACTATTACCTGTACACATGATGAGGAGTAGTGACAATGAAAATATGAACCATTAAACTCTATTACATGTACACATGATGAGAAGTAGTGACAATGAAAATATGAACCATTAAACACTATTACCTGTACACATGATGAGGAGTAGTGACAATGAAAATATGAACCATTAAACACTATTATCTGTACACATGATGAGGAGTAGTGACAATGAAAATATGAACCATTAAACTGTATTACCTGTACACATGATGAGGAGTAGTGACAGTGAAAATATGAACCATTAAACACTATTACATGTACACATGATGAGGAGTCGTGGCAATGAAAATATGAACCATTAAACACTATTACCTGTACACATGATGAGGAGTAGTGACAATGAAAATATGAACCACTAAACACTACGTATGCTTTCCAAACTGTAGAAACATGTATTGAACACACATATATATGAAAAGTACTTGCATAAATCTAATCCTGCGTTTTAGTAAAAGGTAATGAGCTTGTATTTCTCTTATTCCAACCATTAAAATGGGAAAATTCTGAAATATAAAATTTTAACATGGCACTTTAACTTCAACAGTACAAAAATGTGAAATACTAAAGTGTAAAGCCTCAGTCTACATAACATTAGTAACTATCGAGTTAATGATGAATGATAAAGTTACTGCTTTAGATCTGGTGCTCTGCTTTCTTCAAACTTTCATAATGATTCTTGACAACATAACAGTTTTGATCATTATTTTATTTTCTTCAGTGCAAACCACTTTGTACTGTTAACCAGTTTTAACTTCCTCTATGTACATTAAACAGTTTAGGATAGTTTTAAGCTTCTCTCTGGACTTTAAATATTTTAGGGTAGTTTTAGATTTCTTTCTTAGTTATGAATATTTTTTTTAGTTTTCTCTATAAGTTCTAAACATGTTTGGATAGTTTTAACCTTTTCTATAATCTTTAAACATTTTAAAGTAGTTTTAGTTTTCGCTCTGAATTCTAAACACTTTTGAATAGTTTTAAATTTCTTTCTGAACTTTAAACATTTTAAAGTAGTCTTAGCCTTCGCTCTGAATTCTGAACATTTTATGGTGGATATTCTGTTTTCTACTAAAGCATTATAACTTTTATTTTATTTTTTCTTCAGTTAAATATAATTACTGCTATTCTCATTATTCCCAGTACTAATAAAGCAGCCTGGTTAATGATTCATCAATATCATCCATAACTTTAACACCCAATATTTTTTACTCGCTTTAAAATGGGTTTATTTCTGACTTCACACTTCGGAACATTTTGCTCGATAGAGGCTACATCCAAACAAAACTACGCATGCTCAAAGAACTAGAATATGAAGTTTAATATGTGAAGCCATAACAAAGTCAAACGCCTACAATAAAACTTATTTTACGTGTGATTATGGCAATATGATCCTAAGAAATCAACCTAATAGTTTCCTATCCCAACAAGTTATTTTTCTTTAAAACAGAAGTAAGTAATTCCCTAGTAAATACCCATTCAGAAAGTGGTTAAGATCCTCCTGCTCAAGCTTATCATTTCCGGTCTTGCTGGTCATAAACCCAGCTATCACTTAAAGCGATCGCTGAGGTTATAAACATGAAAAGGCAGTTGCCTGGAAACGTATTATTTATTTCTCTTCACACGACGGTTATCTCATTCTTACAGACAACTTCACAGATTTAAGTGTATACACGTTCAATACACGATGTCTTAAAACCGGCGCCTGTAACGTGCAGTGCCTAACAGAAAAAAACCGTTTAAGACATGATGGTTATCTTAGTAGCAGTAACTGCAGCTGAAAATTCCACTACCTCACAAGGATCAGTTATCGATAGTTCAAACAAGTGTAGTGTATAATACGAACCCTCTTCATGACAAGACTGTAGTATGTCTGCGGACTTACAACGCTAGAAACCTGGTTTTGATACCCGTGGCGGGTAGAGCACAGATAACTCATTGTGTAGCTTTGTGCTTAACTGCAAAAACAAACAAGGCTGTAAAATACATTTATCTCAAAGACAACATTATAATTATAAAATACATTTACCTCAAGGACAACATTATAACTATAAAATACATTTATCTCAAAGACAACATTATAATTATAAAATACCTTTACCTCAAGGACAACATTATAATTATAAAATACATTTACTTCATGGACAACATTATAATTATAAAATACATTTACCTCAAGGACAACATTATAATTATAAAATACCTTTACCTCAAGGACAACATTATAACTATAAAATACCTTTACCTCAAGGACAACATTATAATTATGATTAAATTTCAAGCATTTTTAAAAATATCTGTTACCTTAAAAAATATCAAAATTATAAGTCAGTTGTTTATTGCGATTTAAAATTAAATATTATGAACTTCCATAACAAAAAGTGCTTCCCGTTCACTAATTCATGTTTTGTTTCACCATCAATAATCATTAATCTGCGCACGATTGATTGTATTAGATAAGTTAACGATTACCTGACTGATATCATTTTTACACGTTAAAAGATTAGTGTTAAGTCATTTTTTTTCCATTTGTGAAATGCTTCGAATGATCACTAGGAAGTTCCATTAGTTTCCATATAAATCTGTATCAAGTTCGAAGTCAATGGTAGTTTGTTACAAAATGTGTCTTGGGGCGTAAACCGTAAAAACTTAGCCTTGTTTTCTAAATTTCCCTTTCTATCTTGCAAAATTGTTTCGTGTTATACTAACACAAATCTTTTACGACTTCATTGGACACGACAGTACATGCAGACTTTATTTTGTCCTGTTGTGTTTTTTTTTCCACGATATGCTATGTGTACTCTTCTATTTTTAGTACTACTTCTTGTACTGTCAGATACACGATATGCTTTGTGTACTAGTCTATTTAAAGTACTACTTCTCGAAGTGTCAGATAAATATAGATTAAGGTGCACGTGTTTTAAATCAAGAATAGCTTCTAACCCAATAAACAAATCCTACCAGTGTAAAAACAACTGTGTTGGTAGGGTTCGTTCACCTGCAACATTGTGATTGTGTGCTCTTTCTGTATTGTTTGTTCTCGATACACAATGAGTTATATGTTCTGTGTTCATTGCAGGGATTGATCCCTGATTTTTATCACTGTAAACCCTCCAACTCGACACTGAGCCATCGGTGGGCATTAGAGAAATCTTTTTGTACCTAGGTTTATGAGGGTTTTCTCACAAATTTTGTATTGAGCAGAAAGGTATTTGATATCAAACTATACCTTTTGGCTTAATTTTCTACGTTAGACTTATACTGGGAAATATCGTCCATTATCAGTACTTCTATACTAATTTGAATAAGAAAAAAGGAGTTTTATATGTACTTTGTTCTGTTACAGGTTGTAGTGAAGGGATCACGATCATACTGTGATAAAGCTTTTGAGAAATTCATTACTAACTATGTTATGGCTCGTTCTTTAAGACATTGGATTGAAGTAGGTTTTTTCTAATGATGAGAAAACATCTTCAACGTGGACATCTAAATTTTCAGACACTAACTTTACCCGCTTCCTTTACATATGTACCAATCGCACATAAAAAGTTTGCATATGATTTATAATTTAAAATGGAATGAATTTCGTGTAAGAAGAAAAAAAAATGTTTAGAGCGATCGTAACAATATTTCAGATAAAATCTTGTTTAATATGGTGAAAGGCACTACAATGCCCCCAGTGGCACAGCGGTATGTCTGTGGACGTACAACGCCAGAATCCGGGTTTCGATACCCGTGGTGGGCAGAGCACAGATAGCCCATTGTGTAGCTTTGTGCTTAAATTACAAACAAACAAGCAATTAAAATTGCGACGTTTCAGCCGTCAAGAGCCATCTCCAGGCAAAGCTGTTAATCAAATATGTTGGTCAGCCCCCTACTGCCAAAAAATGTCGTAGTTTCAAAAAAACATTTTCACCGTAAAGCTGTTCATGTTATTAAATTAAATCATTGAGTGAGATTTTTTCTCTCTCTTGATACCAAAATGTTATTTGTTGAACTTTTGCAGGTTATCATGCAAATTCTAATTCATTTGCAGTAACATGTAGGTTAAACATCGAAGCATTCAAGCTAAAAGGAATGATGTTTGTCTATGAGAAATCGTTTACGTAAAACTTTTTCATTATATATGGCTCACGTGTTACCTGTTTATAAGCAGAATAAAATATTTCATAGATACTATGAACTTTAGCTGTTCTTGCTACGTTAAGACCGTTATTTAGCGGGGGGTGGGTGTGAAAAATAGAAAGCACTCGTAAAATCAATCACAGCTACGTGGCAGATGTAATGTTTTAACAATTTCTGATTTTAACGAACCACTAATCTGTTGTGTAAGGCTCCCCCCCCCCACCTCAGTGGCACAGCGGTATGTCTGCGGACTTACAACACTAGAAACCGGGTTTCGATACCCGTGGTGGGCAGAGCACATCTAGTCCTTTGTGTAGCTTTGTCCTTAACACACAAACTGATGTCTAACGTATGAAAACCAAGGAATAATCAGAACGTATGAAAACCAAGGAATAATCAGAACGGATTATTCTCAGGCTTATTTCGAAAAATGTGATCAGTCAGAGCAGTAAAACGGATAACAAAGTTTAAATATTTCTTGTATGGTGAACATTATTTCAAGACGCTTACCTGGAGTTTGGTGTTGCTAGTCTACTATTATTTTTAAGATAGCTTATAGCTTTTAGTGCTTATTTTGTTGTTAAACGAATAGCTACACAACGGACTAT